GGCCAAGAAGACAGACAGACTTAACAGGATACTTCCTCCACCCCAACCCAGGCCCAAAGTTAGGATCAGTCTGATTCAAAAAAACAGAAAGTTCACTTCACTTTTCATAATGGTAACTTTGTTGCAACAGTCACTGTTCCAATTACATATGAACGGGTTATTATATTAGTCAATAGCCATGAATTTCTTTCAAGCAGATGATCCAGTACAAATCTAGATTATAGTCTACCCTTTTATGCTACTTCATGTAGCCAAATGCATATTGAGCTTCCAATGTGTTGTGTCATAACATCCGCAAGATATACTTTGAGGTCCTTATCTTTACACTATTTTGTATTCTGGTACAATCAAAAGCCTAAGCCACATCACCAACTGTACTGAAGGTGGATAAAGGACTCTAACCTAGGCATTCCTTGGTCTAGAAAAGCAAAGAGTATTGGTTGGGGGATAAGAAATAGATTCTCAAAATTATTTTCAGTTTTTACGGTTGTTTAGGATAATAGAATAATTCGGGTTACAAGGGATCTCAGGAGTTCTCTAATCCTGCTCAGTGTAGCATCAGCCATGAGGCCATGCACTACTGTGAAGAGACTAATTCCATCTCATTAATCTTCTCATAGGAGCTGGAAGGCTGCTGTTAGGCCTCCCTGAAGCCTTCTGGTCTCCAGGCTGAATGAGCCTGGTTCCCTCAGCCTCCCCTCGTAGGGCAAGTGCTCCAGTTCCCAACTGTCTTGGTGGCCCTCCACCAAGCTCGTCTAGTTTGATGTCTTTCACAGAACATCTAACGAGCTCTGTGTAGAAGGAAATAATCACTTCCCCTCAATCTTCTGGTTCTGTTCCTGTTAATACAGCCCAGGATACCACTTGCTTTTGCTCACAGGACACACTGCTGGCTCGTGTTCTGCTTTCTGTCTGTCAGACCCCCAGCCAATCTTTGCCTGGGGTTCTTCCTTCAGATGCAGGACTTAGCTTTTGTCTCTGTTGAATTTCACGAGGTTTCTGTCAGCCACTTCCTTCAGCCTTGCTGCAGGTAAGTGACATCCACTCCTCTCCCCTCATCCACAAATCCTGCCATTTTTTACACAGAAGGTGGTCAGGTTGGTCAGGCCATGATTTACGCTTGGTAAACATATGCTGACTGTTCCCAGTCACCACCTTTTCATGTGTCCAGAAAGGTCTTCCAGGAAGACTTACTCCATGACTTTCCTAGAGACCAAAGGGAGGCTAACCAGCCTGTGGTTCCCTGGGCTGAACTTTTGGCCCGTTTTGAAGATAGGTGTAACATTTGCTATTCTCTAATCATTACGGATTACCCTGTTCTCCACAACCTATGATGGTAAAGAACAGCCCCATGAAAACATCACACAGTTATCTCAGTGCTCTTGAAAGCAGCTGACAAGCTGGTCCCATGGGCCTGCATGAGTCAAGTTCACACGTTTGTTTAAACATGTGCAGCAAGCCAATTCACAGGCCACTCAAGCAAGCAATGCTTAACTTCTATCCATGATGGATTTGTTTAAATGTCGTTTAAGGCAGAAAAACCTTGTCCTACCAATGATTTTAGGGCAACCACTCTATGTAAGCTGCTCCTTGTCAGCAAGATAAGAAATTGTAACTTATTTACTCCTCAGCTCTACCCAGTCAACCATTATATCACCCATCATGATCCTATGTGATTTTCATGCAATACATTACTAACCCAATAGGGTTGTTGTTGGGTTGGGTTTTTTTTTAATCCTTTGAAAGAGCCTCACATTTTGGCTATGATTTTTACTCTGGATTCCTCTGTCTGTTTAGACACTTTAAAGAACTCTCTAGCAATCACAGAACGTCTTTTCATTAGTGTGTTTCTTTAAGTAGCTCTATGCTTTCAGAAGTATATCCATCACATTACCTGACAAAAGTAATAAGTTTTGCTTCTAAAAAAAAAAGTTGCAATAAGAACTAAGTGAGTCCCTGCTGCCCATTCAGCTGATTAGCAGTCAGGTCTATGAATCTGTTGCATATTAGAATGAAGTTTAGCCAGAAGACTGAGAAGTGATTATTTCCTGCTACACAGAACTCATTAGATGGCATCTAGAATACTGTGTTTTGGTTCTCCCAGTGCAAGACAGACATCAAACTAGACGAGCTTGGTGGAGGGCCACCAAGACAGTTGGGAACTGGAGCACTTGCCCTACGAGGGGAGGCTGAGGGAACCAGGCTCATTCAGCCTGGAGACCAGAAGGCTTCAGGGAGGCCTAACAGCAGCCTTCCAGCTCCTATGAGAAGATTAATGAGATGGAATTAGTCTCTTCACAGTAGCACATGGCAGGAGGACAAGAGGTAACAGACATGTTGAAATAAGAGAGATTATGATAGGTATGGGGTGGAAATGTCATCGTCCCCCCCCACCCCCACCATGAGGACAGTTCATCAGTGGAGCAGGGGCCCAGGGTGGTTGTGTGGCCTCCATCACTGGAGGCTTTCAAGGGCCAACTGGATAAAGCCTCCTGGTCTCGCCTCATGGCTGATGCTACACTGAGCAGGACTAGAGGACTCCTCAGATCCCTTCTAACCCGAGTCATCTTGTGACCCTGTCAAGTATGACTATCCTTAATGAGATTGATTCATACTATTAAAAACAGGTAGCCACCAGGATAAGTTGCATTCTCATGTCCATAACAGTACAATCACTTGTTATTTTGGTTTTACTTGCTCACATTCTCCCTCAAGAAATAATAAATAACTAGAAGCAGTTTAATTCTATTTGATATGCAAAGTCAAAGTATTTGTCTTTAAAAGATCATTACAGAATAACATATTTCCCTAGGGCAGTCCTGTACTCTAAGAGCCATTTGTTCGGGATTGACCATGTGTTTGTACACAAAGAGAAGAGGCAGAAGGATGTATCAGGGAGAGAACAATGGTATCAGGTTGCAGCACACCTTTTCAGATCAGATCTTCCCTTAATTGTGTACTTAGCACATCCTTGAACACAGCAACTACCTTTTGGGTTTTTACAGTATCCAAATACAGGATGCCCAGCAACATACCCTAGGGAGTACAGTATGAGCATGCACCCAAGCAGTGACAGAGGTAACAAACAACATGCTGACTTGCACGGGGGAGGGGTAGAGAAAGGATTTCAGAGGTGATCAAAACCCCACGAAGACAAATTTCCTTCTTTAAGGCTAGTCTACAAGAACAGTAACATTCATAAGCACTCCACAGAAAGAAATTAAAAATAAAATCAACCTAAACCATAAATAAAGTATTATTATCCTCCAAGATATTTAGTGAATGAAATATGTCCAGAGTCATCAGGAATGCTCTCATCTTTAGCTCTCTTCCTCTCAAAGAAAATTAAGCCTCTTGATTTCACTCCTCCATCGAGATTCTACCTTCCAGGAAGAGCCCATCAGCTTGAAATCTAGATTGTTCAAAGTGTAAATTCAACTAGTTTCAGTGCTTTCAGTAACAGGAATCGCCCTGCCCAAGGACCCTCCAAGCAATACCTGTGGTTTTATCATTCTTCTCCTCGTGTGTTTTACTCAAAAACACACTTCCCCTCCATTTCCTGCAAGGAAGGCCTGTAAAGGCGGTGAAACCAACTGCAGCAAGCTCAGAGGTCAATCACACAAAAAGTACTGTCAATTCACAAATTAAGAGAAGATTTGTATTGGCTTCTGGTCACACGTGTTTCTTCCCTCCACAAGCTTTCTCCTCCACAACTAGCATAAGGAGCACAAAATATGCTTTAAAGCAAATTTTAGGTGCCTCTAGTAGTATATCCATTCACACCTATCTCCAGGGAATACAGAAGTCCACTCTCTACTAAGAAATGAACTGCAACTTATTTGTTACAGCTGCTCTTCACATACACTTTACCTGATCTCCTAATGCAGGGAAGGACAAACATAACTGTATTGGAGGACAGCCTTGATACTAACTACCAGTGCATATGTCTTTCACCTATTTAAAAAAAAAATATATGTACCTCAACAACTAGTAACTAGTCATATTAAACCAACTTTTGAGAAGCAACCTCCATCTGATTTAAAGTTCCTCCCAGAGGAGAAAAGACAAGTTGTGGAGAAGCCACACATCTATATTTGACAAAACAAGAGCTAACTGTGGAAAACATTACTGCATTATACTCTCAGTATAGATCCACATTTCACCAGCTTGTAGCTCCTTCCAAAGATACTTCTCACTTTCACTACTTTATTAGCCTTCTTTCACATTTTCAATCTTTGGTTTCTCTTATTCTCCTTCCACTAAAAAGCTATGAACCTATTAACCTGTATTCTAATACTACAGGAACTAAGATTTTTTTCTTCTTTTAACCTCGAATGCTTTCAAATTAATTGTAATTTGAGCTCTCAAGAAAGGGACAAACATTAACTTGTTAACTTTTACCAACCTGATTACCAACCAAGAAAAAACCACAATACAGGGAAACAATTTTCTTATTATCCCATGCTTTTGACAGTTTAGGTATAAAGCATTGATCACTTTCCCTTACACTAAGTCAGGAGGAAATCATGTTGTTATCCATTACTATGTTTGGCCTTTTAAAGTCATGAGCAGGGCCTACCTATCAGAAATTCAAGAAACAAGCATAACGCTACACTGCTTTCTTGGCAGGCCCTTTCATTTAATGACACAGGCCCTCCCCTTTAAATAGCACCCAGATACTTCATGGATGGATGATAAACACGATAATATTAGTATTTCAACACTAGTACCAGTGTCCAGAGCATCCAACATAGTACCATATTGTTCTCTTTGACTAACAAAAGTATCCACCCGTTCTTCCTACGGAATTCAAATGCAAAAGAAAAGAAAATACGTTACTGCACATCCTTTCAGCCAGCAACAGTTACCGTATTTTAGCGGACCAAAAACGCGAGCTTCTAAGCACATTCAAATTGCCTAGCTTGACAGAGACTAAGAGGTGAGGCGTTGCAAACAAAAAAAAAGAAACCAAAAACAAAGTTACCAGCGACCACCACCACCTCTTTTGTGCTGCTCCCTTCGCACTCGAGCAAACGCAGCCTGCTCGGACAATAACCTTAAACAAGAAGATGAAAATACAGCTGGCGCACGCCGCACCGCAGCCTCACCGCTGCGGCACCTCCACGGACCCCGTCAGACGGCCTGCCTCCCTTCCCTTTGTTTTGGTCACTGAAGAGCACCGCTGACCCCTTACTTGCTCGCCAGCGTCCGCCTCGGAGGGAGCCTCCTCCCCTCCCCCAGAGGCCTCCGGGGCCCCCCGCGCCGGAGCGGGGCCCCTCGCACCCCCTCCCCGAGGGCTGGCGCGGCCGACGCGGGGCTCCGCCCCCCCACCCCTCACCTCATTCGGTCTCTCCAGTGGTGCCAACCGCCTCATACAGGGAAATCGGCCACCTCAGGAGCCTCCCCCCGGCGCCCCGGTGCGGCCGGGTCCTCGGTGCGCAGCGGGACCCCCCCGAGCACGGACCCCGCGGCGCAGCGGAGGAAAAGGCGGCGGGGGAGGGGTCAGACCCGCTTCACAGACAGCCCGGCTCCACCATAGCCCCTCGCCATTTTTGTTTCCCGCGGAGGAGAAGCTGGTGCATTCTGGGAGCACAAAGGGCCTGGGCCCCGCCCCAGCGGGCCCCGCCTGCGCCGACAGGCAGCTCCTGGGCCAGGGGGCGGGGAGGAAGAGCGCCGCGGCGGAAGGACACAGGTGAAGCCGAACCTTTGCCGCTG